AGATAAAAAACTACATGTGAACTGAGTTGAATGACAGGATTTACGTAAGTTTCAGTGACAGTTCAGGAGTGCCTTGAAGACAGCATAAAATATCATTTCAGTCCGTGACACTGTTGTTGAACATTGTGAGCATTATGAAATACAGTACTGAATGTATTAAATATATAAAAAAAACCCACACTGAAGGTAGGTAAAAAAACTAGCTAACAACATATACGTACTGTTCGAATGTTGCAAAGTTTAGGATTATAATAAAAAACTGGCGTTTTCTTTGTAGATAAAAATACAAAAACAACTTCCCGAGGCTTGTTTCAAGATTTTTACCGGGCCACGAAGATTCCACGCGCGAATCGCGAGGATGACGTCTGAGCTATATAAATGTTTTAAACTGGACTATAACTGTAGGGAGCCACCTTAAGACGATTCCACAGTTATCCCATAATTGACAGCAGTAGTCAAAATAGGGCTTGTAACGACGACGATTACGACAAAGCTGTGGGAAAGCTTACTGAGTATTTCGCGCCAAACAGGCTTACTGAGTATTTCGGTCAAACAAGGCTTAGGAGACGGACGTGTATTTAGAAGCTCCGCTATTTCGTCAAATAACACACAAAATCTTACTGTACTGTACTCTAGTCACAGTTAGATCAATGATAAATGGAATCTTTAAGCTATAACCTATGCTTTGCATGGCGAGGCGATTATGATTCTTTAAAGACATTTTTTAGCGACGAACTAAAGCTTGATGGTGTCTGGGAGCAACCTGGAAGTGACAGCCGAAATAATTAGCCATTCTCTAACGTGGATTATTATCCTTTGTATCAAAACCAGAGTCTACATAAATGATTGGAAGAAGGCTTGGGTTGTACCTATCTTTAAATCTGAAGATAGGAAAAAATGTGAAAATTATCGCTCAATATCAATCTTACCGATTATTAGTAAAATTTTCGAAAGATCCGTTTTCAATCAATTGTATACTATGAATTTCTCAACGCTAATAATCTACTTTCTAAACATCAATTTGGGTTCCGCCCAAAATATTCTACCCTGGCAGCACTCATTCAGATGTGCGATGCATGGTATGAGAATATGGATAATGGTGAATTAAATGGTGTAGTTTTTATAGATATTCGAAAAACGTTTGGCTCTATTAATCATAATATTCTTTTGCGCAAAAGGAAAGAACAATTTGGGATTTCAAATATTGAATTAAACTTTTTGAACCCTATCTTTCTGATAGGGAACAAGTGTCATCTGTTAATGGCGCAATGCCTGGGACACTTTGCCGTTGTGTACAAGGAAAATATGACACTAGCTGTCATCGAATCTAAACGACGGGTCACAGCTGCAACCATGTATGTCATGAAAGAGACACCTGATCAGCCCTCGACCTCATTTTTGAGTTATGAAACTGCTCTACAGTTAAACTTTAATAACAATGCGTATCAATAAGTTATCAGAGCGACCTGAAGTAAACACCAGTGTGTCGGAACAAAGCAGTTCAAGCACAGCGAATGACATTAATCAGAGCAAAAACATGCATGGAACACTTTTTTACGACAGCGTTTCCAAAATCGTTTGAAGGAATAGGCAAACTGAAAGACCATGAGCAGAAGATACACATAAACAAGGGCATTACGCCGGTAGCTCAAACATACAGGAGAGCAGCTAGTACCTTTTCACTTGCGAAAGCAACTTAATGAATGGATTGAAGAATATATTGAAAAAGATATAATTGAGCCTGTTGTAGATGAATGTACAGAGTGGGTTAGTGGACTTGTTGTCACACCCAAACCAAGAAATCCAAAGGAAGTTCGGGTTTGTGGAGATTGTAGACAAGCCAATACAGCAGTCAAGAGAGAAAGACATCCCATTCCAACTGTTGAAGGGCTTATGGAAAACATGGACGGTGCCATAAAATATAGTAAAGTTGATTTGAAAGCAGGCTACCACCAAATACCCCTTGACAAAGAATCGCGATCGACTACAACTTTTACAACACATCGAGGACTATTTAGATATAAGCGACTACCCTTTGGCATCAATGCAGCAAGTTTTTTCAAAATGCAATTAAAAGAGCTGCCCAAGAACTAGGCGGCCTTAAAAACATTGCAGGTGACATCATTGTCTGGGGCAATACACAACAACAACACGATCAGAGGGCAGAACAATTATTTGCAAGGCTTCAAGCGAAAAACCTTTCTGTCAACTTCCTGAAAAATGCCTGTCCAAATGCCTGACAGAACATTGGTTTTATGGATTGCATTTGACATCAAATGGTATCAAGGCAGGGCCTTTTTTAAGGATTTTCCCGTGGGGGGGCATTTTTTGAAAAGGGACCTTTCTGTGAGATAATATATTAGAGGGGGATAGCAATGGCTTGGGTGAAGGCCACGTGTGTGGCCAACATACCACGCATGAATGGGGGGTCTGGGGGAGTACTCCCCCAGAAAATTTTTGAAATTTGAATCCCGGAAATGTCATTTCCTGCATTCTGAGCATCCAAATTTGCTCCAAAATTTATGCTAACTATACTTGTATTTGAAATAAAAGATGGAAAAAATGCACAAAAAGTAAAAAAGAATATTAACTGCAATTTATCATTACTTATTAGAGGGATAATCCCCAGAAAATTTTTGAAATTTGAAACCCGGAAATGCTATTTCCTGCATTCTGAGCATCCAAAAAATAAAAAATTATTAACAATAATTTATCATTACTTAGTGGTAGAAAAAAGTAACAATTTAAATCGATTTTGTTAAACAAGGACAAAGGATAAAGCCTAAAACTTACTTTCCGTTTATGTATTTGTTAATCTTCGCTGGTTTGTTTGTATAATTTTAGGGAAAAGGGACTTTTCCTGGGGGGGGGGGCAAAATGTGATTTCGTGGG